ATTCATGTCAAAGGAATCCACTAATATATCCGAAGTTCTATACTTGAACTTCAAAGTAGGTCTATAGTTCGATCATGCATCATTCATGCATACCCATGTGATTGACCGAGTATCATCACTATGCCCCTATAGCCCATGAAAATGCGCTATCCAATCAATCTTACATGCTAGTCCATTTATTGAAATCATTTATGTCCACTTTAATGATTCCGAACTAGTAACTCAAATAATGTATGGATTTTGTTCACCTGTGGGGTTTCATTCACCAGGTCATCAACCTGATAAGCCCATCAATCCATAATTATTTTGGACATTTTATTTAATATCATAAAACCATAATTAAATAAGAGAAATGATGAATTTCTGATTAAACATAATTCTGCCAATGAATGTATTACATATGTAATAAGTTTTTCTCCGAAAACAAATACAACTTAAATTACATCATCAGCCTCAATCTAGTTGCATTAGCATGTTTCTCATGCTTGGGCAATGGAAGGGGTTTAGTAAGTGGATCAACGATATTCTCATCCGTATGAACTTTGCACATCTTAACATCCCCTCCGCCAATGATTTCTCGAATGAGATGATACTTCCTCTCAATATGTTTGGATTTGAAGTATGACCTAGGCTGCTTTGATTGAGCAATGGTGCCATTTTTTCACAATACCACTCGATTCTCTTTAGAGCACTTGGTACAATGTCCATCTCAATAAGGAATTTCTTAATCCAAACAGCTTCCTTAGCTGCTTCAACAACAACTAAATACTCTTATTCTGTAGTTTAGTCTGCGATAGTGCTTTGCTTTAAACTCTTCCAGTTCACTGCTCATCCATTCAGACAAAAGATGTACCCATACTAGGATTTAAAATCATCTATGTCTGTTTGGAAACTCCCATCCGTATAACCTTTGACAACCAACTCATCTTCACCGCCATACACTAGAAACATTCCTTTAGTCCTTCTCAAGTACTTAAGGATGTTCTTGGCAGCTGTCTAGTGTGCTTCTCCTGGATTTGTTTAAAATCTGCTACACATGCTTAGAGCATATGAAACATCTGGTCTTGTACATATCATAGTATACATGATTGACCCTATTGCCGAAGCATAAGGTTTATAGATATGTTTATTTTTTACAGTGTTTTACCCCGTCCCTTGGTCGTATTTAGTAGTATTTTTTTATCTCTTTAGAGCCACTTTTATTATAATTGGTGTTTTCTACTATTTTTGTAGTTTTGGTTGAGTTTTGTAGGAAATTGCATCTTTGGAGCTTTTTCCCGGGATTATCGCAGAATGACTATGAGCATTTGAAGGCACGACCGATTGCATTGGACACCGAGTATTCAAGACCAGAAGTGGAGATTCGAATTGGGCCAAGAATGAAGCCCAATCCAAGTCCAGCCTATAGCCGGACCCGATCAGGCGGGCTTTAGCCCGATCGGGCGGATGCCAGAACAAGGGGGCGAAGAAAAAGGCGGGCCCGATCGGGCGGCCCTTTGCCGATCGGGTGCGCGTTTCTAGAGAGCTATTTTCAGCGAATTTCTTAGTTTTAATTAGGAGTAATTTATGGGTTTTTGTAAAAATAAGATTTTAATGCTTTTTTTTAGGACCTCTCTTCTTAGACTTTATCTCTTTACTTAGTTTTATTTTCTCTCTACAAACTCCATACTTTGTTCTTGATTCAACACCTTGTTTACGACAACTTCGGTAACAATTTCTTCTTTATTAATTTCAGTAATTTTATTTCTTTAATTCATCATGTTTCTTTTAGTTGCTTTGATTAGTTTTGATTCAATTATGTGTGAGTAGTTCTCTTTCTAGGGTTTATGGGGATCCATAAATAATATGAAGGGGTAATTTATTATTGTTGATTGTCAATGCTTGATTAATTTCCTATTGATTGATTTAATGCTATGCAATTAGATTAGGCCTGGTTTAATTGTATGAGTTTAGCAATATTGATTCAAGATTCGAGAGATGAGAATTGATGTTAAGGCTTAGTTTCAATAGGCGAACTAATTTATAAATGGTTAAGTCGAGATTCGAGAGATGAGATTTAATACCGGTAAATTAACTCTGTGATTGTAATACGTAGCGAAAGCCCTTTATGATCTGATTAATTGATGCATTGATGATTTATTGTTATGTTTTACCCTGGAATATTGTTTATTGGTGAACCTATGCCCTAGGCTTTTATTTCATTGATTTTCCTCCTACTTTTATTCCTTCCCACTTTTACTCTTAGTAGTTTAGTTCCCTTTTATAATAACAATTTGGTTACTTGATAATTTAGATTATGTTATTAATTAGGAATAAATTGACTTGTTTCCTTGTGGTTCGAACCTTCTTCCCTATCTACATAGTTAGTGGATTTAGGTAATATTTTTTATTAGGTGATTACTACTTTAGCTTGTCAGAATTTGGCGTAGTTGCCGTGCAAACAATTTTATTTTTATTTTTGATTAGGTGATTACGACTCAAGATCTTCTCAAATTCTCCCATCAAAACTTAAAATTATTTACATATTCTTCATCCTCTCACTTTCCTCTACAATCTAAATATACTTTTCACTTGTTTCTCTTAATTTTTAAGGAAACCCTAAGAGAGAGAAAGCTTCAACTTTTCAAGAATGGCATTCAAGAGATCAAGGACATAAAGGGGTGAGTCATCAAGGCAACCACCAACACCCACGGTCGACCCGGAGCTCCAAATTCTGGGATGGAGCGAGGTGGTGGTCACAAGCACCGAGCAAAAGAATAGGATGCTCAATCTCATTGAGAGGCAGGTAATTTCTTCTCGTTTTGTTCATCACCCGACTTTGTCTAAGTTAGGAATTGACAAGCATGTGGAAAAATTGTTCAAAGGAATTGGAATGAGTGGTTTATTCAAATTGCATTACGATACTTATGATTATTTGACCGTTGAATTTATTTCTACGTTTAATTTGATTAAGTCTAGTGCGTCCGTATATCATGTTCAATTCCGTTTGATTAATAAAGATTTTAGATTGTCGTTGAAAGAATTTGGTAGAATTTTTTATTTGAAAGTCGGATAAGCTAACGGAACCTCCTAAGGACTATTGTGTCGAAATATATTTGACTTTGACAGGAAATGTGCTTGAAAACCTCCAACATGCCAAGGGAACTAGGATACAACATCTCGTGCCAAAATTTTGGCAACGGTTTGTTGGCCTCACCATCTTTGGGAGGCATGAGCCGGACAACGTGAGGAGGGATGAGTTAGAGTTGTTATCCACCTATATGATCCCTAGTAGTGAAAAACTAAACATTCCCCTTAAGATGGCTCAACATTTTCAAAGGAGTGGTAAGACGGCCGAGGCCGGTAGGTCTAGGACCCCGATTTACTTGATTTGGCTTGGAGGAGATCTTGTATATATGGTATTTCTCTCTCTATTTTCTTCTTTTTATTTCTTTCTAGTGTAGTTTCTTTATTGCTTTTTAGAGTAGTTTTATTGCTTTTGAAAAAAAAACAAAAATACAAAAAAATTTGAAAAGTTTAAAAAAATGCAAAATTACGTTCCAATGAAGAAAATGAATCATGCTTCCCAGTGCCCCTTGGAAAAAAAAAATTTGACTCTAGGATATTAATGATGAACATTGTGGATTAGTTGGTCATGATTTGATGTTTGATTGCCTTGAAACCTTAGCATGCGTCAATTTTTTCCAACTACTTGTGAATATAGTGCTTAACTAGTTGATTTGGTGAGGAATGTGTGTTAGTTCCTGGTATATCAATGAATCTGAGTATTAACTTGTGACTATGAGTAATGTTTATATGATTCACTATTATGCACAATGTGGAGGATGAAGACATTCATTCTTTTAGGTAGCCTTCAGACGATATTAGATACATTTGTTCCCTTCTTGCTACCCATGTTGTTGCTTGTGCCCTTTTATTGATTATTTAGCCACATTGCAAGCCTATGTGAACCCTATTGGTTACTAGTCCCAAGCTTGGCTTGGGGGAGCTATTAGTTGGTGAGGTGAGGGAGTTGTGGTGTGCATATTATTTGCACAATGTGGGAATAAAAGAAGAGTGATTGTTCTTTTGATTTTGTGATTGGAAAAAAAATTAAAATAGGTGTTCAAAAGTTGAAAAAATTTCCAATAAATGTGAGATAAAAAGAAAAAAAAAAGAGCAAAAGAAAAAAAAATATTTCAAATGGTCTATGTGAAGGTTGCTCAAGAAAAAAGAGAGAGAGAGAGAGAGAAACAATTCAAGGAAAAAAAGTTCAAGTTTGAAAAAAAAAAAAAAGAAATAAAGGATGAGTTCAAAGTTTGTTTTATTTCACTCTAATTCTTTATTATCATATTTTTTGTGAGTGAATTTGTAAGTGATGGTGGTTATGTGAGATGTTAATTTTGGTTGTTTGGTGAACTTTTGTGGAGTTAAGTTGTGGTTGGAGATGATTTGGTCATTACTAGTTTTTGACCTTGGGTTTTATTATGATATGGCTCCCTTAAGCATGGCTTTGCTCTCACCTTTTCCCAAATATTTCCTACCCTTTACCCTAGCCTTACATTACAAGCTTTAAAGACCTTCTGACCTTTGTGCATAGAATTGTGTAGATGTGAAATTAGTTGTTTGTCAATGCAAGGGATGGCTTGATGTATTCCGAGTCGACTATTTAGGTTGAGTGCTATTCTCTTAAAACACACGAGTGTTGTGAGTTTGGGAGGGCATTGTTCACAATAAAGGGGTGGTTGGAGAGCAATCGAGTACATTATTTACTCGCCACATAAATAAGAGTTGAGTGTATGAGCACTAGTCTTGAATTCTATATGCTCTTGTGGTTTGCTCTACTTGACAATTGCTAGGGAAGATAGGAAGTTGAATGGATTTGAATGATTGATTTTCACTACTACAAAAATGAGCAAAAGGATCTATAATAAAAGACCTGTTGGTTAATACAACGGGTCTCTTTGATATAAAAGATCTGATATTAGAGACAACGAGTCTCTTATATATCAAAGGGCCCACCAATAGTTTTGAAAGAGATGGAGGGAAAAAAAATAAGAGAACTTAGCTTGCCTTAGCAGGTCCCTTATGTGTGTAAGGGGCCCACCACTTAATCAATTTTTATTTTCTATTTTTTTATTTGGAAACATTAACCAAAACCCTATTTCTTTTGATCTCTTGTCATTTCCCTAAACCCCATCACGCCGCTCCCTCTTTCTCTTACACTCTCTTCTCCTCTCCTCTCATCTTGTATTTCTCCCGGAGCGAAAATACGTTACCACCACCTCCTTCTTAACGCCGGCATCTCTGCCTCCTCCTTCTTAATCCCGACGTCTCTTCCTCCGGCCTCCTCCTCCTTAATGCTGGCACCGCTTTCTCCTCCTGAATGCCTTCGTTGCTACCTCGTTCATCCTTCTTAACACAGCCATTGTTACCTCGTATTTTATTTCATCACCATCAATAAAAGCTTAAATTTAAGGCTTTCAAGGTTAATTTTGACTAAAAAAAACTCCAGATCTGGAGTTTTCATGGTTAATTTGGCAAAAAAAAAAAGGTAAATTTTCATATCTATTTTTTTAAAAAAAAAAATAATAATTTTACAAGTTTTTTGGTTAGGTGATTGAGTTTTTTCGTAGTGATTTTGGTTTAGGTTGAGTTGTTTTGATATTTTTTCGTGGGTTGCTGGGGTAATTACGGGTGGTCTGGTGGTGTTTTTTTGGTATTTACACTTTAAATTTTATATTTACACTTTAAATTTTATATTTACACTTTAAATTTGTTGTGCAAATCTCATTTACTTAGTTTTTTCTTTGTTGAATGTAAATCTAAAGTTTTCTAGTGGAATTCTCAATTATAATCATTCATTTTTTTTTTTTTAATTTTGTTTTGTCAGATCTGCTTGATGTCGTTACAAGGTAGCAAATGGATGATCAGAGTACTCAAGCCTAATTAATGTAATTGTAATTGTAAATTTCAATAAATTCAAACAATTTTTTTGTTTTGTTTTTTTTCATGTTACATACAAATTAAGTGTATAAATTAAGTGTACAAATTAAGTATACAAATTACTAATACCAATTTATAATTTAGCTCCTCAATTATACCAATTTGTATAGAGCACAAAAACAAAATTAATTAAAACGCAAACCGTAAAAAAAAAAAATTTTTTTTTCAAAATATAAAAAACAAAGAGACCGGTTATTTGACTTGACTGGTCTGTTTCATACAGTTAAACAGACCCCTTATATCAAACAACGGGTCTCTTTCTCTTCGAAACTATTAATCTTCATCCCGTAAATAACAGACCTGTTGTCAGTGACAACGGGTCGCTTTGTCCGCACAAACAAACCCCTCATGAGAAAGGGTCTCTTAATCAAAGAGACCCCTAAGATAGAGATTCGGCCAAAGGCGGTCTCTCAAGCATATTTTTTGTAGTAGTGTTTGATGTATGTTTGTTGGATTGACCTTGAGTTATATTTTGGATCTTTGATTTGATTTGGGGTGAAATCATAGTTTGTTTTGATTCATTGCCTTGATTAGGGACAAGCAAGGGTTTGGTTGTGGGGAGTTTGATATGTCTATTTTGTATAGTATTTTACCCCCGTCTCTTGGTCGTAATTAGTAGTGTTTTTGGCTCTTTAGAGCCACTTTTATAACTAATTGGTGTTTTCTACTGTTTTCGTAGTTTTGGTTGAGTTTTGTAGGAAATTGCATCTTTGGAGCTTTTTCCTGGGATTATCGCGGAACGACTACGAGCATTTGAAGGCACAACCGATTGCATTGGACACCGAGCATTCAAGACCCAAAGTGGAGATTTGAATTGGGCCAAGAATGAAGCCCAATCCACGTCCAGCCTATAGCCAGGCCCGATTGGGCGAGCTTTAGCCCGATCGGGCGGATGCCCAAAACAAGGGGAGAAGAAAAAGGCGGGCCCGATCGGACGGCCCTTCGCCCGATCGGGCGCGCGTTTCTGGAGAGCTATTTTCAGCAAATTTCTTAGTTTTAATTAGGATCGGAGTAATTGTGGGTTTTTGTAAAAATACGATTTTAATGCTTTTGTTTAGGACCTCTCTTCTTAGACTTTCTCTCTCTAATTAGTTTTATTTTCTCTCTACAAACTCCATACTTTGTTCTTGATTCAACTCCTTGTTTACGATAACTTCGGTAACAATTTCTTCTTTATTAATTTCAGTAATTTTATTTCTTTAATTCATCATTTTTCCTTCAATTGCTTTGATTAGTTTTGACTCAATTATGTGTGAGTAGTTTTCTTTCTAAGGTTTATGGGTAATTTCCTATAAATAATATGAAGGGGTAATTTATTATTGTTGATTGTTAATGCTTGATTAATTTCCTATTGATTGATTTAATGCTATGTAATTAGATTAGGACTGTCTTAATTGTATGAGTTTAGCAATATTGATTCGATAGATGATAATTGATGTTTAGGCTTAGTTTCAATATGCGGACTAATTTATAAATGGTTAAGTTAAGATCCGAGAGATGAGATTTAATACCGGTAAATCAACTCTGTGATTGTAATACGTAGCGAAAGCCCTTTATGATTTGATTAATTGATGCATTGATGATTGATTGTTATATTTTATCCTGGAATATTGTTTATTAGTGAACTTATGCCCTAGACTTTTATTTCATTGATTTTCCTCCTACTTTTATTCCTTCCCACTTTTACTCTTAGTAGTTTAGTTCCCTTTTATAATAACAATTTGGTTACTTGATAATTTAGATTATGTTATTAATTAGGAATAAATTGAGTTGTTTCCTTGTGGTTCGACCCTTCTTCCCTATCTACATAGTTAGTGGATTTAGGTAATATTTTTTATTAGGTGATTATGACTTTATCCTGTCATTAATCAACAATACGTCTCATCTCTTCTGGCGTTTTAGGGCACTAAGATTTACTGAGTGTAATGCCATGAGACATGGGGAGAAATCCTCTCTTAGAGTCTTTCATCGAAAATTTGTCAAGAACCTTATCAAAATAAGTTTCTTGACTCAATCCAATCATCCTTCGAGACCTGTCTCGATGGATCTTGGTTCCCAATATGTACTCGGCGTCATCCAAGTCTTTCATGGAGAAACAACTCTTCAACCACTCCTTGACTGACTCAAGCATTGGTATGTAGTTCCCCATGAGCAGTATGTCATCTACATACAAGACTAAAAAAACTATGATGCTCCCACTGGACTTCTTGTATACGTAAGCATCAAGGAGTTGGAACCTTCGTTGCTTCATAAAAAGTTTCTCTTACTAGAAGACTACCCTGGAGGAACAGTAACCTTTGGGGATAATAAAAAGGGTGAGATCATTGGAAAAGGAAAGATTAGAAGATCGAAGACTCACTCCATAGATAATGTGTTCCTGGTCGAGGGCTTGACGCACAATTTGCTCAGTATATCACAATTTTGTTATAAAGATAACTCTATAAGTTTTGCTTCTGAATCTTTACAAATCAACATCAACAAGTCAGGAAAGGTTGTTCTTGAAGGAACAAGAAGAGGGAACACATATACTGTCGACCTCAACTTAATCCTAAGGAACAACCTTACATGTTTGGGTGTTGTAGAAGATAATCCCCTACTATAGCTTAAACGTTTTGAACATGCTAGCTTTTCATTACTCGACAAACTCAGGTCAATTAAGGAACTTGGTTGTAGGACTTCCTATATTTAAGTTCCTACAGAACAAAGTTTATGATGCATGTGTGAAAGGCATGTTCATTCATCTTTAAATTGAAGAAAACGGTAAACACCACAAAGCCTCTGGAACTAATCCATATGGATTTGTGTGGTCCCATGAGAATTCAAAGCAGTAGTGGCAAGAAATATGTATTGGTTATTGTTGATGATAATTCCAGATTCACTTGGGTTATTTTTCCTGATAACAAAAAAGCAACCTTTGACGAGTATATTGCCTTTTCCAAGAAATTACAGAAAATCAATGGTCACTCCATAAACCATCTTAGATCAGATCAGGAACTGAATTTGAGAACTTAAAGTTTGATGAGTTTTGCAAGGAAAATGATATGAACTACAAATTCTCAGCTTTAAGGACTCCCCAACAAAATGGAGTTGTAGAAAGGAGGAATCGAATTATGGAGGAAATGGCAAGGACGATGCTGATTGCAAGTGGATTGCCAAGGAACTTCTGGGTTGAAGCCGTGAACACAACACGTTACATTCTTAGCAGAGTAACAATCAGAGCATCATCAACAAGACTCCCTATGAATTGTTCAAAGGGACAAAGCCAAACGTATCTCATATTAGAGCCTTTGGTTGTAAGTTCATTATACATAACAATGGTAAGAAAAACTTAGGAAAATTTGATGAAAGAAGTAAGGAGGCTATATTCCTTGGATATGCCTCTAATAGCAAATGCTTATAGAATTTATAATAAAAATTCAATGTGTGTCGAGGAAAGCATTCACATAATCTTTGATGAAGTTAACCGGTTTGTGAGTGTACAAGAACAAGAAGAAAATAATGATTTTGAGATTGGATTGATAAGAGATAGGGATGAATAAGAAGTTCAAAAGCAAACCAGAGAAGAGCAACCTATTCCAAAGCAAAATAAGCAGGAGAATGAAGAAGTTCCTCAACTAGAAGTACAAGTCAATGAGGAACCAGCTAATGAAGAAGAAGCAGAAGGAACAGAGCAAGAAGCTCCTCAAATTGGAGTTCCAGCGAGGGAATATCAACCTAAGTCATTCAAGTATCAAGGTTCACATCCTACCGATCTCATCACCAGTGACATAGGAAAAGAAACTCAAACAAGATCGCAAATGAGAAACTTTTGTGCCTCCCTTCATTTATATCCATCTTAGAGCCTCAAAATCATCAAGAAGCCTTGGGAGATATATGTCGTAACACTGTTAATAAGAGTATTGTCCCACTTTTAGAGAGAAACAAACAACCTTTAATAGGGGTATGAAGGTAAATAAACATTTTGAGGGGTATATATGTCGTAACATTGTTTATAAGAGTATTCTCCCACTTTTTATAAAGTAGGGATATATTCACATTTAGTTCTCTTATCGATCTAATGCCCCCAAAACGCTCGTTAGCTTTTGCTATAGATAAAACCATAATCCAATGATGCTAAATGATATAGTACTAATAATACATAATGTTTTTTTTTTATAATTGACCTCTAGTAGCCAACTTAAACTTAAATGAAACAACACCCAAATTATCAAATACAGAGTAAGAAATACTACAAAGTTCAATTTATCAATTTTTTGAAAGAAAAAAAAAGTACTATCAACAACACGTTCAATAGTATGTAAAAAAACTTCATGAATTTTTTTAAAAAAATAAACATATACAAAAATTTTGTATTAAGAAAATATTCTGATATGAATTTTTTTTCAAAATTTTTGTATTAAGAAGCAACACCAGCAATATGATTAATCATTTAAAAGCAAACCAATCATTAATTGTTTGGATAATCTTTACATTTTCTGCACATACAACCAGCTCTAAATATTGTAACATTGGTGGACTACAATATAACAAAGAAAAAAGAGTAGCTAGTGGTCGCAAGTGTAGCCACAACCAATATTACCACTTCTATCAATCGCAATTCAAAACTTCCCAAAAGCCTCAATACTACTACCCTTGAGAATAAGTTTGACAAAAGAAAACGAATCATCCCATGATCGTTAAATCAAATCAAAAGAAAGGATAAGTAGAAATACAACTATGTCCGTTAATATCCTACTTTTTAGGAAAATATAGTGTATAGTTTACGTTTATTAATTTAAATTATTGATTTATGTAAAATGGATAGTAGTTTGGGATAAGTACAAAAACAACTATACCCATTTATATCCCATTATTATAGAAAATATTAGTTTACTGTCATAGATTTAAATGATTTATTTAGGTACAATGTATGAAAACTATCACGTGATATATTTTTTTTTTTTCTAAAATAAACATGCACTTTTGGGAGGAAAATCAATTCTATTATTTTAAAGCATGAAAATTTAAAGGAAATTTAGAGTGTACACGTGTCCTTTTAATTTTCCTTTTTTTTTTTGGGTTAAAAAAATAATAATTAATGTTAAAAAAAACTAATATTTATCTTTCTTTTTTGTTCGATTTATTCTCCAAACAACGCTTCATTCACTTCCCAAAATCTCTAATGTTTATCTTTTTAATAATATTATTTTAAAACAGGATAATTTAAAGGAAATTTAGAGTGTCTGTGTGTCTTTTTTTGGGTTAAAAAATAATAATTAATTAAAGTTAAAAAAACGGATATTTATCTTTTTATTTAATCAGTTTATTCTCCAAACAACGCTTCATTCACTTCCCAAAATCTCTAACGTTTATCTTTTATTTGTATTATTTGTTCTCCAAATAACACTTCATTCACTTCCCAGTATTTAATTAATCTATACATCCATTTAAGATTATTATCATATCACAACTACCTTCACTTTATCTATCTTTCTTTCCTTCCAATCTCTCTTACCTTCTTTTTACCCCATCGTTATATTAATGACTTTCTTTTTTGCAAACAAAATCAAAAAATTACAATGAAATTCATGATTTTGTATATATTTTAAACTTATTTTCAATTTCTTTATTCATTATAGGTTTATGTCAACTTGTGAAGTTTTTGGTTTCAATTGATATTTTTGTTACAACATTTTTGCAACCATTAAGGGAAGTTTCTCTCTTTTTTTTGGAATAATTTATCAAAGTTATAACCATGTGCAAAAACTCAAAAGCAATATTTAATAGTAAGTCTGGTTATTCTGCTATATTTGTTTTTTTTTTTTGAATTTTTTTTAAAGTTTGCATCTTTCCGTTCTAAATTTAACTACTTGTATGTTGTTTATACTCTTAATCAATTTTTCATGCACTTAATGTAATCATGTTTCAAAACTCAAAAGCAATATTAAATGTAAGTGTGGTTATTCTACTTTTTTTTTTCCTAATTTTTTAAAGTTTGCATATTTCCATTCTTCTCAATTTAATTACTTGTATGTTGTGTATTTTTTATCAAATTGATCCAATTGATAAAATTAGAATTTTTTTTTTTACTCATCTTGCATTTCAATCAAATGATTTAATGGGCTAATTAAATTTAAATTCCAGATCTTCCAAATTTTTTTGCTTCATGTAATTGGCATCTAATGTTTTTGAATAGACATATATTTTAAAAATATGAATGGCAATAGGCATGAAATTTTATACATGTGGTTCAATAGTTGCAATCCAATTTTTTGTTAGGTAATTTTGAATATAAGGAATTAATATTCAAACATATATTCTTTATTTATTACTTTGTAATTTTTTCCTTTACTTTTACTTTTAAAGGCAGACATAACTTAACAATCCTTCTATAAGGAAAAAGTTACAAACAAATCTAACCCGTGCATTCCACGGACTGAATACTAGTTTTTTTTATATAATAAGTTGACATGTGTATAAGTTTGGAGAAAAGATAACGTCAGTTGTTGCTACTTCGATATTAGTTATAGATGTAGATGTAGAAAAATTAAGCATAATTTGTTGATAATAATTTGTTTAATTTATTTATAGACAGCTTAGCATGCATTGTTTAATACTTGTTATCTTAAAACAAGTAACAAAGGAGATAAATCCCACGGAGGTAAAGGAAGTGAGAAGGGAGAAGGAAGGGGGAGGGAGTAGGAGTGGCAATTAATATATACTTTCTAAAATTTTACAAAAACCATAAAAATCAATTGAGAAGGAGATATATATTGAAAGTTAGGGGGAAATTTTAAAGTGATGCATATTTAGGCTCCGTTCTTTAGAGCTTCTCTGCTCTTCTCTACTCTACTTTGCTCTGCTTCAATATGCTCTGCTCTGCTTTGCTCTACTTAAAAATAATATTTAATATTGAATTATTATAATAATAATTAATATTTAATAATAATAATAATAATAATAATAAATAATTAATATTTAATAATAATATTAAAAATAATATTTAATAATAATAAATATTTAATAATAATAATAAAATTAAAAATTAATATTTGATAATAATAATAATAAATAATTATTAATATTGAATATAATAATAATAATTAATATTTAATAATGATAATAATAATAATAATACTAATAATAATAATACTAATAATAATAATAATATTAACAGTAATAATAACAATAATAATAGTAAATAATAATTAAAAATAAAAACAATTGGTTTTTTATAAGAAAAAATTAATATTGAAAGATAATAATAATTATTAATTTTTAATAATAAAAAATAATAAGTAAACAATATTTAATAATAATAATAAATATTTAATATTAATAGTTAACGATTATAATAATAATAATAATAATAATAATAATAAAATTTGCAGTAATAAAATATGCTCGGCTCGACTCCGCTATGATCTGCTGCGCTGAAATCTACTCTGCTCGCCTTGAAGCTCAAAATAATAGGGCCTTAAAGTGTCAGTGTCGTTCATGATATTTTATGGGCCCTAGGCAAATTATTAATAATGGGCCCTTAGTTTTTTTTTTTACATAATTATCCAATGAAAAAAATTGAAAGTTTTATTATATTAGCGTTGTATAGTTCGTAATTGTTTTAATCTTATTGTATAGCTCGTAATGTTTTAATCGTATTTGTAAAAAAGAAATTCAAACACCTGAATAACGTAAATTGATCAACTACTATCCATAAAAATAAAAAATACAAAGTACATTAGAGAATGGTGATCTAGCAGTAATGTAGCTTTAAACGGTTAAAATAGGTGGCAAAATCATATGAAGTATATGGAACATTGGCAAGATGGTTTTTAGTTAAAACATAAACAATGGAAATAATTTATTAATCCTATCCTTTTATGCAACCATTGTGGATGCTCTAATCAATCAATATTCTTTTGATAACTAGAAATCATTTTTATTTCAATTTACTTTAATTATAGTATAAATTCAAATAGTAGAATTTGTAGATTCAATACAACAACTAAGAGGTGTTCAACGTTCACTCTCTAACCTCCATCCCTATCCTTCCACCGCCCCTCTTTTTCTCAGCCCCTGCTCACCGACGACAGGCACAATTTGTCTAGCCGTCGCCGACGAGGCAAGCCCTTCCATTTATTTCCTTTCTTGCTTTAATTTTTTGTTTTTTGGTCTGTTTTCCTTTCAGGTTTTTCAATAAAGAAGACAAGGAGACTGATTTCTCGTCAATTTCATTGGATTTTTTACGGTCGTCAGTTGTGTTAGGTTCCAATTAACCAATGAAACAAGAAGCCAAATCTATCCTTATCGGCCTCGTCAAAAGGAATTTTGTTGGTCGTGCTCCCGGCGGAAAGGGTGAAGTTAAGGCTAGGGTTTACCTCCCTTTATCCAAGGTTCGATTTAGGTGAGGTGGTTCTTCTTGCATTGGCCTTTTAGTGGTGGTTCAAAGCTCGACGGTGCGGTAATTTCTTGTCATCTTCTTTCAGTATCGAGTTTCTTTGTGAGTTTTTATTTGTGTTTTTTTAGGTGTTCTCTGTTTGCTTAGGTAGTTTGCTCTTGTTTTTTGGGCATTCTGCCGTTGATAATGGAGTCTCTTGTCATTGATGTTTTGGCTTGTGCCGGGGCTTCTTTTCGTAGTACCTTTTATGGAGGGTAAAGAAGCGTTGTCTTTGGAATCTTGTTGGACAATTTTGCTTTGGTTGTTAGAAGTTCCAGGGTCAAGTTCTACCTTGATTGTGGTGTTGGTGGTCCTGTTGATTGTCTTTTTGGGGTGTGACTATGGTTCTCTGGAAGTTACAGGTGAGTGGGTCACCGAGTGTTTTAAAGAGGTTTCGTTTGATGGTATTATGCTCTTCCATGCATGGGGTAGGTTTATTTGTGCTGGGGTATGGTTCCTGCATTTGGAGTTTGCCGGAGGAAGGTGTTGCTGAGTGGAGAGGTTTCATGTTGTTTCGTGGTTTAGGGACGATAAGAGTAGTAAGTCGGTTGCTATTATCCCATTATTAGTGTTTGTGATGGCATCGTCATCCATCGTTGTTAAACAAAATCTTTGAGGAGGTTCCCCATCTTTAAATTTTGGGGTAAGAAAAGTCCTCCAATGTCCAGGTCTCACTGTTGGTAGAGTTTCAGGCAAAGAACCTGCATTATCATGTAAGGTTTCTCAAGGTAGAGTCATACAAAAAATACGACTCTTTTGGTAGTATTCCCAGACTTTTAGGAGGTAGTTGCGCTTTGTCATTCCTGGCAGTGGAATGGTGTCAACGTTCAGGTTTCCTACAATAGGATACAGTCTTTCAGTCGGTGTTGCTCTCAACAACTACTTTTGATTTTGCTCTTAGGTTTTTGCAAGCTTCATCAGTTCTTTCTCGGTCCATCTCTATTTTTTCGTTACAGTTGGCAATGCGTGGTCCGCAATGAAGTTTTGGTAGGTTTCTCTTGGTTTTTCCCGACTCTGAAGTCAATGGTGTTTATGCAATTGGTGGTCTTTGCCACAACTTCATATCTTGGTCCTCAGTAAAGTTACATAGGGTTGCTAGTTTGCTGTTAGTGTGTTTAGTTTGGCGTGTTTGATTGTTTTTAGTTATTTTAAGCTCTTAGGTTGTAATTTGCTATTTATCTATGAAGTTCTCATTGCCAAAAAAAATACTGCAAAATTTTAATGTTTTTGGCTTTGATTTACAAGATTTATTTTAACTGGCCTTTTTTACTATAGGTTAACATAGAAAACTATTTAGGAATTTGGGCCCCTACAAACCCTGGGCCCTAGGTGGTTGCACCTCCCGCCTACCCTCATGGCCAGGCCTGTAAAGTGTAATTGTGGAAGAGATACTTAATAAGAGATTAAATTACCAAAAATCATGAAGGTCGATTAAGGAAAGGAGTGATGAGGAGGGGTGAACTAAGTAGAAAGAGAATTAATAGATATCCTCAATACAGATTCACCTATAATTTAGAAACAAATTATTTCTAAGTTTATAGCCATTTGAAAAAAATGCTATAATCACAACATGATTTTTTTAAACACTTAACACACACTCGCATGCGGAGAAGTAAAGGGACAGTCGACTCCCACCCTCCCCTGCGGTTGTTGCAATTGTGGGCTACGTGTTAGAGCAGTGGTTGGTCGTGGACCATGGTGCAGTATTGGTGGTGGTAGTGTGTGATGTAAGTGAAAGAAAGGGAAAAAATAAGGAGAGAGAAAAAATAGGATAAAGATTATGATCTTTACTTAGGCCAAATTTGGTCCTAAATCTAGTCCAAATTGTAATCTATACTCCACTGTGGCCCTATTTAAAACTCATCCCAATAAATGAAAAAAAAATGAGTTATGTAGTAGTTGAATTAATCAAGATAAATTTGTGTGCACGTTGTAATTATTTTATTCACATGGGTAAATTTCATTTTATATAATTGAATTGGCATTTTATTTTCAACTCTAAAATTGATTAACAGAGATTTGGAATATATGATATCAATCGAAAATATTTTTAACAACTTAATGCAACTAGTAGAACTGGTTAATTCAACTTTGTACTCCATACTACTAACCATAATGCAGACTCTACAATTCTTTAAATGCATCACATAAAATGAATCATAACCTGATTAAATTTTTATATTCATCTTTAAAAAAATAAATAAATAAAAAACCTTATCTAGAGATATGAGCAATGAAAGCATCCCTTTCTAAATCTGAAACACCACATTTTGCAACTGATCCTCTCACAGCTTCACCTAATTCTTTAGCCCTCTTCTTTATCTCCTTTCCTTCTTGTGATGCCATTAATGTCTTCACTGCATGCTCAATTATATTTGACTTTACAATCTCATCGCGGAGTTCCTAATCTTTCACCATTACACCAATTTTGAGCACATTACTAATATAAAATGGATTCTTTGGTTGATCGGAATGCATAGGAAACGCTGCAATCGGTACACCCATACTAATACTTTCTAAACATGAATTCCAACCACAGTGGCTCATGAACCCACCTACTAATGGATGACCCAATATTTCAAGCTAAGGCGCCCAATATTTTACTACAATACCTATATCTTTTACTCTTTCCTCAAAACTTGCTGGAAGTTGAGGCTTTTTCACTTTATCTGCTTCAACAAAAATATCATTTGGATCTGTCTGTTGAAGAACCCAAATGAATTTCTTACCGCATATTTCCAACCCCTTTGCTAACTCTTCAATTTGATCATCCTTCAGCAATATCCTCGTCCAAAAAGACACGTATAAAATTAAATCCTTCTCTTGAGCATCTAGCCATTCAAGGGAATGATGTCTGTTTTTGCTAGTGCTTTGGATATGAACCGGATTTAATGGCCCTAATTCAAAATTTTGTACATCATCTCCCTTTTTTAAAGATATCATCTTCCCCAGAAATTCAACATATTTTCTGTCAATTACTCTTGAGGTGTTGTAGAGCCACCCTGATTCAAACCCTGATGACTTATTAAAATTCTCAAGAAATTCTAACATCTCTTTAGTAATGCATCCCTCTTGAGAAGGCATACAATTCGGAACATAAATTGCATCTACCCGAAAGGGTTTAGCTTCCTCGGGCATGCTTTCCCATTCCATAGCAAAATAGGTAAAAGCACAAATGGGAAGGAAGGCATACGCTTCACCATTTGGAATGAGCTTAACATCTTGGAAAATATAACTCATACTATTATCATAGATGATTACAACTCTTTTATAGATCTTCGAGAGTTGTTTCATGAGATGAAACACGGGTTGTCGAAGATGCATCATAGCCTCCAAAAGGGGTTGCACGTGATGTAGGAATAGGTCGTCGATTTTAGGAGGAGGTGAGTCAAAAGGAGGAAGTTCGAAATCGTCGAAATGAATTTTTGTTAAGATTTTTGAGTTCCACCCATGGAATCGGATCTTTGCTTGTCGGTTATGGAAGGTGGAACCAGCATAATGGACTGGGATTCCATAGGAGGTGATAAAGTTAGAAAGGTGAAGGAGTTGGTTTAAATGACCTTGAGCTGGTAATTGTACAATTACCACTACTACTTGATGGTGCTCGATGTTTTTAGTTTGGATGTTCATTTTTTGTACTATGATGAAGTTTTGGAGGTTTGTTTTTAAAAGTTTTGTGTTTACAACCAATTGAGTGTGACTTATTGTTTATATATGTCCTATATATATATAATAATATTAGAGATATCAAAAAAGATATTATATATCTCTTAGTATCATTGTTTAATTCATATCTTGTTTTCTTTAGTATAGTAAGATATCATCTTATCATTCTTTATTTGATATTATTTTGTGTAATCTTTTGATATCCTTAAGATTTTCATACATTAATATTATTAATTCGTGAAATATAATTCTCCCTCTCTCTCTCTCTCTCTATATATATATATATATATATATATATTTCTATGGGAGGACCTTATATTCTTAACTTTTTTCTATGTTCTAATTTTTTTTTTTCTGCTTATGTTCTAAACTTTTTCTTATATTCTAAATTTTTTCTACTTATGTTCCAAATTATTTCCTATAAACTAAATTTTTTTAGCGCTTATGTTATAAATTTGTTCTAATGTTCTAAATTATTTTTTCAGCTTATGTTCTAAATTTTTTCCTATATTATAAATTATTTTTTTAGCTTATGTTCTAAACTTTTTCATATGTTATAAATTATTTTTTAAACTTATGTTCTAAATTATTTTTCTTATGTTATTTTTGTTTGCTTATGTTCTATATTTTTGCTCTCTTCTAAATTTTTTTTCCCAGTATATTTTTCTGCTTACATTCTAATTTTTTATGAGTTTTACCACCAAAACAATCACAAAATTGTTTTTTACTACCAAAAATTTTAAAAGTTTTATTTTACCACCAAAAAAAGAATTAAAAATTATTTTTTACCACATGCCGTCATATCGCTTTAAGAATCTTGATAAAATGATTATAAAACATGGCAATTAGTGGTTCGTGGAGGCAGATGTATCATGCGCATTGTACATCTGTTCAAAAAACAAAATAACGCGAAAAGAACATTATATAGAGATGTAAAGAACATTTAGTTAAAATGAAAAGAACATTTTAGTTAAAGTGAAAAGAACATTTTATAGAATTGTAAAGATTAAAGAACATACATCTAAACTAAAAAGATCATATTGTTAAAATGTAATGAACGTGATAATTTCTAAGTGTCTATTTTAAAAGAATATGAAGAATATAATAAAAGAACAGAAGATATATATATATATATATATATATATATATATATATAAATATATATATATATATATATATATATATATATATATATATATATAACATAGAGCTATTAATAACAATGAACATAACACTATCTTATAAAGAACATCATCTTCTATCATTGTCACATTATTCTCGAATTCAACATTGAGATTCATCAAATTTTAAAAAGGAAAATAAACAATAAATTTTGTGATTACAAAATATTCTAATTCAAATCTAAAATAATACAATTAATGAAAAACAATCAAAAATTTTCATTCAAAATTACCTTCGATCTATGATTAACAAATCCGCATATTCACCTTCATTAAAAATCACTCCATTAACAAAACAATGATCAAAAGCTCCAAGAAACTCGATCTAAATGCGCAGGCATCGTCTTTTATTAGTAGAATTTCTTTTTCTCTATAAACTTTCTATTTCTCTCTCTAATATTTGTATTCCTCTCATTAAAGAATTCAAATAAGTGAAATTAAAGTATGAAGAGATATACCAATTTCTAATTAAGATTGGGTGATAATTACCATAACTCTTCAATTATAAAACAAATAATAAATTTAAAGATTGAAAAGCTAGATTTTCTTTAAAAAAAATACTATTATATTTTTTTTTGTTGAATAAAAATAATATTCATCACATTATATTATCATGTTCTTTATTAATATTACGGATGTTCTTTAGATATATATAAAAAAACATAAACCTGGATGTTTTTTTCTTTATTAATACCCACGAACCTACAAGCTACAAAAAAAACCACCAAACCCAGGAGCCGTAGCAACCTACCGAACCCACGAGCCGCAGCAAACCACCGAACCAACAAACCCACTAACCGCAATAACCCGTCGAACCCACCGACCACAGCTAACCCACAGATCTAGAATAAACCACCAACAAGCCACGAACCACGAACCCCCAAACCAACGTCAAACTCACTGTTGAATTAACCCTCTTAACCCATCACTGTCAATCTCACTGTAAGGAGGATGATCCCATCGTAAGGGGTACTCTCCTTAAATACCATTGGCCGCTTAAAAGCCTAGGACTTTACACTTGTTACGGTGTATTAGGATTTGAATTCCTGACTGTTTGGGGGACCTTGAATTAGAAATGATTCTATTATACACGCTTTTTTGTAAGGAACAAGTAGGAGTCGCCAATGAGTTTTAGGAAAACCCATAAACCTTGTTCATGCCTTTCTCCCAAGTAGAGTTCAAGGGATATTTAGCATGAATCATAAGATCCATTCCCAAATTGGTCTACATGAACCAGAATTGAGTTCGGGAGCGAGGGTACTAAGATAACGTTCCCTTTAGAGGAGAATCGTGATCCTAGCCCTAGTGCGGCCTATACTAGCTCTTCCTTTTGCACAATTTCATCACCAAACAATATATGCAACATGATACCTAAAACTATGTTAATTGATTTTATTTACACATATCAATTCACGTAGGAATTACATCGTAAGGTTGTTATTCTTATTTAATTAAATTCGTGAAAAGAACAAGAAAATAAACAATATTCGCCTTGGCTTAAGTGATCAACCAACAATTATTTTATTCAATTCTAATCTTTATTTAACGAAAGATGTTATATGGAATTGATTAATTAATTATTTTAAAGGTGATCAAACAACACTAATTAATTAATTAAGGTTCTTTTAAACAAGAAAATAAACGTGATTTAACTAAGTGCTCGGGAATTTACCACTTCTCTTTGCTAGATCTCCGTTTAGAACACTTATGGATTCCTTCTTGTTGGGGAACCTCCACCGTATTAACAAAGTATCTAAGGGGTGAGTGTTTAGGACAAGAGGGTTAGGAAGCACAAGTTCACAAGTATTCAGCCAGCGTTTTAGGCTATTTCCTGTGTGTTTAAGCCTTGGATTAGGGTCTTATTTATAGGGAATGATTAGGTTTAGGGTTAAGAGCATTCTACCGCAGCAGGTTTCGCGCGCAACTGGATGAGTTGCGCGCGGCTGTCACGCGCAAGTGAATAAGTCGCGCGCAGATGATGCGTGCAATTATTTGTCTTGCGTGCAGCTTTATGGTAAGATTCGATTTTCCAATATTTTGATATTCTGAATCTTTCGCGAGCGCATCTCCAGAAGTTGCGCGGAGTGCTGCGCGCAACTGAATAAGTTATGCGCGACAGTTGAGCGCGACTTTTTGAGATGCGCGCGACATTTTAAGCGGCAGCTTAAATTTTAACCTAGACGCTCCTAAATCCGTCATTATTGGGTTTTAAGCATGGGCTTAAGCCCTACTATGATCGGGTTTAGTTATTTGGACCTTGTACTGGCCTTGTTTTTTTATTCGGGCTAGTCTTTTGTGTTTTGTGGCTTAACCAGTAATCCATAAGTATTCTTCAATTTGATCCAACGCGAAGATGGCTTTATTGCACTTTCTGTCGGGACAGGAGGCCAAAAGTAGATGTCTACAGTTAGCCCCCACTTTGATCGAGTCTAAGATAGACGATGATCAAAGTAGTCAAGGAAAAATCCGATACTTATTGAGCGTAGTTCTCTAAGGTTTAAAGAATCTTTCAGTAATGTTTAAGGATGTCGAAACAGTCCTCGGTTTGCTAAGTTTTTGAAACAAGTAGCTATTAAGGCTAGAGAAAGTTTTCCTAGTCTTAACGCGCTAAAGAATCTAGATTGATCCTTTGCAATTGTAGAATACTTTTACAAGTAAATGTATTCTGGGTGATGTCAAGTCATGAGAAGAGATCGGTTTTAAAAAAGAATAAAAGGGCATGATTTCCTCTCAATCATGTCATCATTGGTCTAAAGTCCCTCGATATGTCATTGAAACTTTAGCCTGACTTTAACAAAGTAAAAAGAATGAAAAAGGGTTTTTGATATTCGAACCAAAAAGGGTCCGGCATTCAAGCCAAGTCCGGTATTCAAACCGGATGTCCACAAGATAGAAATACATGTCTTAGTACTGGAGGCATATATCCAAATCCAGTGAGAGAGAAGAAAGTCAGCAACTCTCTCAGCAGTTTTGTCCACAAGATGAGTACACGTGTCTCAGGACTAGGGGCACGTGACTACATGGGTGCGACACTGTCTCGTCGCTCTTTGTACAGGGGGTGGACGGACACCCTAATTGTCCGGTTAGTTAGTAAGCTCACTAACTACCGTATTTGCTTCCATTCAAGAAGTGTCTGTTCTTGAAGGTTCGGCGCGCCTGTCGACTCGTGAGCTAACGCCTACAATAAATAGTCTACCTTTTAGTTCCGAGAGGTAGATCTCGCAAAGCTTGGGCTGAGGTGAAATTTTACGCAACACCTACGCCGTACAATTTTACGTTGTACGCTACGCCATTTGCATTTTTACGCTGCATGAAAACGCCTTCCTTTTGCTTCAAACGTGAAAAAGAAAAAAACCCGAACATTTATAACGTTAGTACTTTAAAATGACAAACCTGTCTATGGGTGCTTTTACGTAAAGCAGCACCACAGAACGTCTTAAGGCACCTTTACGAAAAACGTTCAAAACGTACGCTTGGGGAAGGCACAAAACACGTGATGCAAAAAACTATCAAAGAAGAAAATAAACTACAAATGCAAAGCAATTAAAAAGGATTTTGATAATTTCGCGCCATTACGTCTAATAACGAGCAAAAACCATTGAAAAAAATGATCAAACGGATCAAAATCAGGATACCGATCATTTTAGTGACCAGTATTCGTGCGCAACTCAGTGGGTCGCGCTGGCCAAGCACGCGCATCGTTCTGAGTTGCACTGCTACGTCACGCGCAACTTCTAGAGTTGCGCGCGACACTCAGTTCAGCAAAAAGAAAATCGCGAATGCGATTTTTCATTTCGCTCTCTCTCTCCTTCCTTCCTCCATTTTCGACTCTTTTTCACTCTAAAGAGCACCATTTTTTTGCGATTTTTGAAGCTGAAGGAAGCAAATATCGCTCTTAATTCACATTTTCCATAATCCAATGTAAGTTTTTTGCTTAAATTCGTTCATTCTTGGTTGGAATTTGAGCGTTTTTCGAATCGTAAAATCCCAAATTTAGAATTTGGGGATTTTTTATTCGGTCCATTATTCTTGAAATCGTTTTTTCCATGTTGTTATGCTATGTTTAAGGAGTGTTTGTCAACAAATTTTATGAAAAATGGCTAAGTATTGAACCTTGTATGAGCATTTCTTTGTTTAAGTTCGTTCTTGCTCTTTTTGTTCGAATTTTGCTTGAATCTGTTGCTTTTCTTGCTCATTTTGGTTATACTTGTTGATTATGAAGTATATTGTAGTATTAGAACTAGTATTACTTTCATAATTCACATTTTGCAAATTTTTGAAATTGAAAAAATGGCGCGAAGTGAATACATATCTTGTTTTTGCCATATTCGAACTTCAAGATTGTTTGGTAGACGATAATTGTTTTGTATTACTGTTATTCGTCTTGGAATAGTTGATTCTTTGAGATTTTGAAGCATAATCCCTTGAATTCTTAGTTGAAAATGGTATAGGATGGCTTTTGTGGGTGTTAAAAGCCCCCATTTACTGAGTTTGACTGCAGGTATCGTAACCCCCAAGTATGGGTGGCATTCAATTTTTGTGTTTTGTCCTATCGGCAGCCGTTATGCTGCCAAAATGGATCTAGAACACGATTATTTATTTAGGAAAAAATGAACTAATAGAGAAATCTCGTCTATCATAGCATGGATTCGCCTCCATTTTTCGACGTTGAGGAGATTCTAGGCGGTCCTGACGAGGTAGTTCGCCCTCAAAAGAGGGTGACTCGGCCTCGTGAGGAGGTTCGAGAGCGACGCGCCGCTGCTAATCAACGTCGCCAGGAGGATGTGATCAGGGAGGCTCCTCCCGACCGCGATTCTAGGGTCCTTAAGTGGGATCCATACCATCACGTCTCGGTTCGAGGGTGGCGCGGCATCATGAGTTTCTTACGCCTTCTTTCTTTTTTTTACTTTCCCACTTTTCTTTTATTAACCGTTTTTTATTAGTTTGGCTCTCTCTTCTCTTTTTTTTTTTTTTTTTTTTTTTTTAGAGTGAGTCTAGCATGCGTCTGTACGGCTCTGGTGACCTACGGACTCGTTTTGAGAGCTAACCCGACAAGGTAAAGGAGATTGAGGAGCTTTCAGGGATAGGTCACGCGCTAGCGGCTCTTTAGGATTTGTCGAGTCAGTCTGCTTCGTCAGCTTTCCTCCGCGGATTGCTGGAGTTTTGGTGGGATTCCACTAACACTTTTCACTTTCCGTGGGGAGAGATGAAGGTCACCCCTTACGACTTCTCTATGATTACGGGTTTTCCTTTTTTAGGTGATCATGTAGTTATAGAGGTCGTAACAGGGCAGGACTTGAGACCGAGGGATCTCGTGGGGGATCGTCTGGCGGCGATCCTTCACGTATATCCTCAGTCTTTTCCGTACTCGATTCTTGTCGACGATTTGTCGGCTGACGAGGTTAACCGGCAGTGTACACATGAGAAGCTGGCTCAGATATAAATCGCCCACATTCTTTCCGTTACTCTATTGAGTGATCGAGGGGAGCGTTTCCCTATCGGGTTACTTACTTGCCTCATAGACTTGGGGCAGTTAAGTAACCTGAACTGGGCGGAGGTGTCGTATGCCCGTATGCTTAGAGCTATGGGCAAGGCGACCCGAGTAGTGGATCCTGCGGCAGCTACTGAGGTGCCTCGGATCTCCCTTACATGGCATGGTCGTATCCTTGAGGTACGTACTTTAAACTTTCTTTTAACTTTTTATTATTTATTTTTCTCTTTTTAAGCCGTTTCTCCTTAAATTAGGCTTGGGGATACTCGTACCTGCCTTTCCTAGCCCCCAAGGTGCTCGGGGCTCCTTGCTTTCCTATCGGCCATCGACTGGCTACGATTAGGAAAAGGCGAGCTACTTCAGCCGGCGACTCTCGCCAGAGGATTCTTTCGGTGACCCGTGCGTCGGTGAGTATTTTGACAACACATGTGTATCTTTCTTTACATATTATTATTTTGCTTTGATGATTTTCATGTGATTTCATTAGATCGATCTCCGTCCTTGGAGTTTGATCGTTGGAGTCCCTGAGGATATCCGGCTTGGCATTGTTCGTTGCCGGTTTTGGGCTCTCTACTCGGGACTCCCAGTGCTCTAGAGGACGGACGCTTGGTTTTTAGGCGAGCGCGTTCTCTGGCAGCATTCGTCAGAGGAGCCTGTGGTTCCTGTGGATCCTCCGATCCGGATGTTACGTCCGGATTTGCTGTCGACCGAGGATCGAGCTCAAGCGATCCTTGGTTATCCAGCGGATCGGCTGGTGCTACCGGATGCTCCTTATCTGGCTTTCATTGCATCCAGGCTGACTCCTTTCCCAGCTTTTGTTCAGGTTAGTATCTCAATTCTCTCTTTTTCTTCTTTTTTTGTTTCTATTTATTTTTTGGAACTTTGACCCCCCCCTCTTTTTTTATTTTTTATTTTTTTTATTTTTTAGCGGGTCGATCAAGGCGGTTGGGTGCCTCCTACAGCGGAGATCACGTATACTGATGTTGTCGGGTCGTTAATTCGTGAGATCCTTCCTGCAGCGGAGGATGATGAGGGGATACCGTTCATTCCTGAGACGGTTGAGTCGGTATGTCCTTTTTTTTTTGTATATGCACTTAAAATATTTCTATTTTTTGCTTCATATACATTTATTTACTAACTGTCCTTGTATTCTTGGAACAGGTTCTGCGGGAGACCGTGAACGACATGGTGAGGACTATACGTGCTTTCCGAGCTGCTTATTGAAGAGCCCTCGTGACTTTGTCATGCCGTGATCATCGGATGATTGCGGTAAGTTTCATTTCTTTTCTTTCTCGACGAAGTTATTACATTTCATGTGTTAATCTTCGTTTTGGGATTTTGCAGGATGTACAACAACCGTCTACCAGTCGCAGAGCACCCTGATCCTTTTGTACACATTTTGTTATATTTTTAGGAAACAAATGTACATATTATTTTGTTTTGTTGTACATATGACACATTTTTTTTGTATATGTCATTTATATTATTATTATTATTTGTTTCCATGTGTACACATATAAAAAAAAAAGCAAAAAATTTTCCGAGGGAGGGAAAGAGTTCCCGACTTACCCTCCTCGAAAAAAAATTAACAAAAGAAAGGAAAATAGGAAAAAAGAGACTAAAAAGGAAATAAAGAAAATAGGGGGGAAAAGGAAGAAGGAAAAGAAGAACAAGAAAATAATAAAATGGAATAAAAAAGAAAACAAATAAAATGGAAAGAAAAGGGACACAAGAGTTAGCAAAAGGCAAGCGTATGATTAGTCTTAAGATTTTGTCAAGATTCCGTCATTATGTAAGCCAAAATACGGAAATAAACTTAAACCACATGTCGCGAGAGAGAAGACGCGCGCAACTGGATGAGTTGCGTGCGTCACCTGTTTGTGAACTTTCCTTTGGGCGAAAATTGCCGAAAATATGCCCCTCTTGGGTCTATTTAAGCACGGTTTCATGTAGGCTTTTGATCATCTCGCATTCATTCGCTTAGTAATTTTATAAGAACTAAAAAGGAATAATCTCTATAAAATCTTACTCTCTCCTTTTTTTTTTTTTTTTTTTTTTTTTAAAACATTGAACAATGGTGAAGACCTTTGAACAACGTTTGAAACAATGGGTCACTTCCCTTTCAAACGAGGACAAGCTAGCTTTCAAAATTTATCATCTAGACCCTCTATTGAATTATATGCAATTAATGATTAATTTTGATTTCCTTCATGTCGCAGTTAACCATTGGGACTCCAACCACCATCTCTTTTTATTTAAAGGGGACGAAATTATTCCCCTTCCTGGTGAGTTCAGGGCCTTGCTAGGATTCCCCACAAATACTATCCCTACGACTTATTCGCCCCTATTGTCGGATCCCAAACCTATATTCCAAAGATTTTTTGGCTTGTCCAACAATGATATGACCAATATTGGAACTGAAGAAGGCGTGAATTTAACTCAATTTATTGAACATTTCGTCGCCCCTCGTGACAACAATACTAAACAACGCTTTAAAATTCGTGTCTTATGCTATTGTCTTGTTGTCAATTGTTAACTTAGGACAGGCAAAGAATATGGAGATTATTCCATGGTGTCCGTAGTAGAGCAAATAGAAGGATGTCAATTCATCCGCTCCTTTGGCTTTGGCAGAAACCATTTTATGCTTGAATCGCCTTAGAGGAGACCCTAACGAAAATAGTTTCACGGGAAGTCCACTCCTATTACACGTAAGTTTTTTTTTTTCATCGTTTGTTGAGCGCAAGCCATGAAGTTGCGCTGGTACGTCCAGCGCAATCTTCTGTTCTGCGCGCGGATGGTGCGCGTAACTTATTCTGATGCGCGCGCCACCTGCTCGTGTAAAAACTAAATTTTTTTTTTCAGATTTGGCTCATGGAGTGTTTGCGAATAGTTGATCAGCCACAAAATATCGAGGCTAATGGAGTACGGACATTCCCTGGACGTCGAATCCTTTACAAGCATAAGAATGAAGAGGAATGGACGTCGTTTTTCTATCACGGGATTCCTAACATACGTTTTGTGATTCCTTGGTGGAACATAAATAGTATGGTTGGGAGTAGTCTCAATTGCCCTTACATTAGGCTTTTAGGCCTATCTAGTGTTACTTACATTTTTCCTTGCAGGGTAATGAGACAATACGGAATGAAATAGATTATTCCCCCGCAAGACTGTGATGCACCCAAAGATGTGACTTTTAGACCTGAGCGAATTTTTCGTTGGATAGAGTATTGGTCAAGTCTTCCAAGGTGGGTAGTACAAAATCCTGCTGTGAGTATTGTATTGTCTTCCTTTTATAAAGCTTGGATGAATGCGCTGATAAGGGCGAATTAAACAAGGCCTGATCTCAATATCAAACTACCACGGCTCGTAATCCACCTAAGCCTTTAATGCATTCGGCCACCACTACCCCTCCTAGTGGCCAAAACAAAGGAGTGAGAAGAAAATTGGACTTCTCATCTTCTAAGGTGCGTTCAAAGGAATCCAAAAGGAAAGCTCCCTCCAAACTCGCACAAAAAGGTGTGATAATCAAGGAACCTTTGCAACAAACTCGAAAGAGGACTCTAATAAAAGCTTCGGAAAAGGGAAAAAGGGTTGAAAAGGCTCCTATTCCTAAATTGAAGAACAATGTATGAGTCAAGAAGAAGACTATAGGAGAAAGCTCTAAGGTTTTTGAAAATACTGCGATGGAAACTACTCCTTCATCATTCGTGACAATTGAGGATATAGTGAAGCCTTAGAGTGTTACACAATTTCTCTTTTTTTTTTTAATAAAGTGTAATCACTACTATGCCCCCTTTCTTTATTTATGATCTAGTTCAACAATGTCTCTTTTTTTTTTTGGAATTTGAATGAAATAAGAATGAGCTTTATGTTTTGATATTTTGATATGACCGAATCATATAGATTGCCTACGTATTCGTATCACGAAATCAGGTCATTGCGTAATTCTAATTCTTTTATTATATATATATATATATATATATATATATATATATATATATATATATATATATATATATATATATAAAATCAAACTTTGTTTAAAAAGAATTAAATAAAGTTTAATTTTTATATTTTCCGAGTACATGTTTACATTCATGAAACGCCCTCTTTTTATCGTACGTAGAAGTTGCAACTTCGTTCAAACAAAAAAGTCCGGGTTCGCAGTTTACGATCAGGTGGCGCACGCAACATCTAAGGTTGCGCGAACCTGTCGCGCGCAACTTAATGAGTTGCGCGTGACATCCGCGCGTAACTATTCCAGTTGCGCGCAACACCTGTACTACGAGTGTTTCGAAAAAAAAATTATTTCTGTGCTATTACCCCCCCCCCCCAAGTGTGAAGATTTTTTTTGTGAAGTTCGATAAAAAATCCGAACACTTAGAATGGTTTATTATTTCTAAATTACCCCCCTAAGTGCTATGTATTTTATCGTGTCATTCGGTAAAATACATAACACTTAGAATCTTTCAATTGAATGCTAATTAAAGTTAGTTGTATGTATGAACGAGTTAATCCGGATTTCATATGTAATATTTCTTAAGACGATCAATGTTTATTAATTGGCGAATTTTATCTCCTCCAATTTCCATTAATCTGACGACTCCTCCTGATAGGATTTCAATTACGCGGTAGAGACCTATCCAATTAGGTTTGAATTTCCCTCTTGGATCGGTAGGTGGACCCCTAACCTCTTTTAGTACAAAGTCACCTTCTTTTATATTTGGGTTTTACTCTTTTATTGAAATGACGCGCAATGCACCTTTGGTAGACTTATACATGATGCAAAGCTCTTAATCGTCATTCATCGAGCAATAAAATCTCCTCATACCTCGCTCTTACCCATTCAGCTTCCGGTAGCTTACTTTCGAGTACGATGCATATGGATGATATTTCTAGTTGGACTGGTTGAACTGCGTCCATTCCAAAAACTAAGGAGTATGAAGTTACTCCTATTGATGTTCGTTTAGACATTCTATAACCCCATAGTGCGAAGTGTAGTTTATTCGGCCAATCTTTATAATTTTCTGCCATTTTCTTAATGATGACTGTTATATTTTTATTTGCCGATTCTACATCTCCATTCATTTGAGGTCTGTATGGGGATGAGTGATGATGTTTTACCTTATAACGAGTTAAGAGGGTCTCGAATTCAGCTTTGAATTGAGATCCCTGATCACTAATTAGTTCGTGTGGGACTCCATATCTACAAAATATGTTTCGTTCGAGAAACTTTGTGACATGTTTAGAAGTGATATTTATGTAAGAAGCAGCCTCAATCCACTTGGTGAAGTAATCGATGGCTACCAATACGTACTCGTGCCCTCCTGCTCCTGTTGGAGAGACTTTTCCAATTATGTCAATTCCCCAAGTTGAAAAGGGCCAAGGGGAAGTGAGATTATATAGTTCTGATGGTGGAAGGTGTTGTAAATTAGCAAACATTTGGCACTCTGGACATTTTTTGACATGTTGTATGCAATCATGTTCCATAGTGGACCAATAGTACCCTTGTCGCGAAATTATTTTTACAAGCATTTTACCATTCAAGTGAGGTCCACAAACACCTTTATGAGTATTCTCCACAAGGCGTGTGGTTTCGGGTTGGTCTATACACAATAAACTTTGTCCATTAGGTCCTTTTTTGCATAATTGACGATTTAATAGACCGTATTGAGCCGCAAGTGTTCGTAAGGCTCGTTGATCTTACGACGAAGTATTTTCGGGATATGTGCCATGAGTAATATATTGGAGGATATGATCATACCAAGGATTGTTCCCTTCGATGTCAATTATTTCCTCTATTGCGTTGCAATATGATGGTTCTTCTCTTCTATCAACGCATAATGGCATCATTTTCAAGTGATCTGGAATGTTGATAATTGAGGCTAATTTCGCTAGCGCATCGGTAAATTGATTATCATCCCTTGGGAGATATTTAAAGTCAATATGTTCAAAGTGCTCGACGAGTTGCTTTAGGTGTGCTTGGTATAATATCATTGTGGAGTTCTTTATTTTCCATTTTTTCAGTATATGATTTATAATCAAACTAGAATCTCCATATACCTCTAATTTTTGCACACCTATGCTAGCTGCCGCTTCTAATCCAATAATGCACGCTTCACATTCTGCGGCATTATTAGTAACCTCAAAATCTAGTTTGACAGAGATTGGAGTATGTGCTCCCTCTAGACTTATGAGTAACACTCCTACGCCACATCCCTTTTGGTTGGATGCACCGTCGAAGTACATTACCCATTTGTCATCTTGTGTCATGAGAATCTCTTCATCCGGAAGATGAGTAGTTTCTGCATGACTTGTTTGAATTGGATGTTAGGCCAAAAAGTCGGAAATTAATTTTCCTTTCATTGATTTTTCTGGAATATATTTTAACTCAAATTCGGCCAACATTACCAACCATTTGGATATTCTTCCTTGTATAGTGGTTGTTCAAACAAATACTTTATCGTATTTTTT